GCCTCCCAAGTAGCTGGGACCACAGGCGCCCGCCACAACACCTGGCCATTTTTTGGTTGCAGCCATCATTGTTGTTTGGCGGGCCCGGGCTGTGTATTCGAACCCGCCACCTTAGGTGTATGTGGCTGGCGCCTTAGCCGGTTGAGCTATAGGCGCCGAGCCAGCTATAGGCGCCGAGCCAGACTTTGCTCTTAACCACAGTCCTCTAATGCTTCCCAAACAAGAGGGAGACATTTGTGAATACATATCGTGTTCTTTATTTGAGAAATAGCAATAGTTAGGATGTGGTACCTTGGAAGACAACTCTTGCCACAATAAAAGACACAGTGAATTACTTTGATGATGGTTCTGCTGGGGCTGAGACACAGCAGGAAACCAACAGCAAGAGAAATGTATCCTACCAGCCATAGTACAGTGGCAAAATTTTGTTTTCAGAGTTTTAAATTTAGGGCATTATTATTTTTCTGTGATGGTCTCTGTATAATTGTTTTAAGAGTTTGCTATTAATCCTGTCTAAATTCTCACACACTCTGCTAAAATGTCTTTTATTCTGTAGGCAATGGTTTTCAAAGAGTTGGGTTTTTTTAGACAGAATCTTACTTTTTTGCCCTGAGTAGAGTGCCATGGCATCATCACATTCACAGTAACTTCAAACTCCTTACCTTAGCCTTCCAAGTAGCTTAGACTACAGCGCCTGCCGCAACACTCAGATAGTTTTTATATTTTTAGTAGAGACAGGGTTTTGCTCTGGTTCAGGCTGGTCTGGAACTCCTAAGCTCAGGCAATCCACCTGCCTCAGTCTAACCTAGTGCTTGGATTACAGGCGTGAGCCACTGCACGGAGCCCAAAGGGTTGGACAACTTGCATGAGAATCACCTGCGGTCTGGGGTGCTTTGTGAAATGAAGAACCCTAGATCTCCCCCCATCCCAAATCACAATGTTTGGGTCTGGAGCCTGGAAATCTTCCCTTTACCAAATACCCTCGTGGACCAACATGCACAGTAAAAGTTGAGAACCACTACCACAAGTGATTAAACTATACTCTACATTTTAAAAACATTAAGTAAGCCTGGATGGCAAGGAGCCATTTAAATCGGTAATTCAGAGGGAATAAGTAGAGTAAAATGTCATAATTCTCAATAAAAGTGATCTATCGGAACACTAGAATTAACAAATATAGAAAATAAAGATGTTATCTCGTAGACACATTATATAAACCATGATTATAATTCTACATTAGATCCCCCTTTTTTTATCAGTTAATTTTTTAAAACTTCTTAATTTAACTCTAGTTTGATCAGATTCCTTTAGTCCATAACTCCCTGCTCTTCCTCTTAGTTTAGTTCTTTTTTCTTCATTTTTATCCCACCCTTTTTAAGAACCTAAGAAGTGAAATGATAATATATCTATCACCTACAGTGTTCTACATGTGTATTTTCTCAGTTTTTCTGCCTACCTCTGAGATAGATAAAATTCCATTTTATGGGGAGGACAGTGAAATTTTGAACTAGTAAGTTGGTTGCCCTTTTTGGCATCTGATTCCCCATTTAAAGCTCTCCTAGAGAACTCACTTTTATTACTTGCTGGTTGAATTTTGACAGATGCCCAGATTTAAATATACCCTGGACATTCAGATGTACTCAGGAGCAAGTCATCCTCAGTCTGCCCACTGGGATGAATTTCTCCCATTGACCAGCTTTAGAGCACCACATATCTGTAGGTTTGCTCAGAATGCACTGTGTTCTCATGTCTTGGTCAGGAGGTTCCTTGGATCTTTTCGGGTAGAGGTTCCTTATACAATGTAACATCCCTTTATGATCTTCCACTTCTTTACACGCACTTCCACTTCTTTACACGCATCACGTACAGTGAAACAAAGTATGCTCTTTCTCTCTTTCTCTTTCTCTTCCCCCCTTTCCCCTCTCCTCCTCTCCCCTCTCACTCTTCTCTACTCTCCTTCTCTCTCTTCTCTTCTCCACTCTCTCCTCATCTCTCTCCTCTCTTCCCTTCTCTTTTCTCTCCTCCTTGGTGCTGCTCTGCAGCCTCCATCCTCCACCAATAAAGACCTTTCATACAATAAAAAAAGAAAGAAAGAAAGAAAGAAAGAAAGAAAGAAAGAAAGAAAACCAAAGTATCAGCTGGACCTGGTGGCTCAAGCTTATAATCCCCTCACTTTGGGAATCTGGGAATCTCAGGTGACAGGATTGCTTGAGACCAAGAGTTGGAGACTGTGGTGTGCTATGATGGTCACTGCACTCCAGCCTGGGTGACAGAGTGAGACTCTGTCTTTCTAAAAAAACAAAAATAAAAACAAGACACAAAAGGCAAAAACAAAGTAGCAACAGAACTTAGAGTGGAATCAAACAGAATAAAACATGTAACAAGTGTGATTCTCATTACGTTAGCCCAGGGAAGTGAAAAATAAAGGAATATTCATTTCAAGCCAGTATAATTTTCAAGGGCTTTCTTCAAGGTTGAAATCTTGGAATCAGTGGAAAGAAAATATTTTATCCCTTTTTTTTTTCTCAGATATAATTGTTTCAATTATTTCATTTTCTTTCCAGGGACTAAAGACATGTGGAGAGCCTACTCTGACATGAGAGAAGCCAATTACAAAAATTCAGACAAATACTTCCATGCTCGAGGAAACTATGATGCTGCCCGGAGGGGGCCTGGGGGCGCCTGGGCTGCTAAAGTCATCAGGTATTACAGGGATGTTGAGCAGAGCTTAAATGCCTGGGACAGTCAGGAGGAGGCAAGTTTCCTTGTATTTTCAGGAAATTTCCTCCATGGAAATTTCCTGTGGAGGCTGTGGTCTCTGTTCCACTTGCCCTCTCTCTGTCTCTGTGCTTAGTGTGAGGGGCTGAGTGGTTGGCAAGAGCGAGTGATTCCCAGCCCCCTGCCCCAGCCCCAGGTGCTGTTCATCCAGCCAACAGTGCTCAACTTGGGCTGAGACTGGCTGAGGCCCTTCTTCTGTGCCCTTCCTGGGCTTCTCTCAGAGGCCACCCTTGAAAAAGGAAGAATGGGAGGGTGAAGTGTTGGCTAGTGGCCTGGTGATTCATCTCCTTTTTGCCTGCCTCCATGACAGTGATGCCAGAGAGGATATCCAGAGACTCACAGGCCACGGAGCAGAGGACTCAAGGGCTGACCAGGAGGCCAACAGATGGGGCCGGAGTGGCAAAGACCCCAATCACTTCCGACCTGCAGGCCTGCCTCGCAAGTACTGAGCTTCCTCTCCACTCTGCCTTCAGGAGACTGGGCTGTGAGGCCCTGAGGGCAGGGTTATGTTTTGAAGCGGAGTTACTGAATTCTATATCCCCAGTACTTCAACAAGAACACATAAAAATGCTTAATAAATTCTTGCAAAATGCAATTTGTTATTGTACTGGAATCTGGAAACAGAATATGACAGTCTTCCTGAGAACATGGGGGGATATTGAGTATCACTAGGATGATCAATAAATATCACTGTTTTCATTTTTTAAAAAGATAAGGCACTAATAAACAATAGTCGGTATTGGAGGTAAACCTGGAGATAAAATGTTTATGTCTCAACTAAACGTGGACCATACTACATGGACCGTAAATGGGCCAACGAGAAACCTATAATTCTATGTTCCATGAAATGGCAAAGATAGTAAGAGAATCCTAGGACAACTTTAGCAATAAATTTTAAAAATAAATTTAAAAATCAACAAATCTTAGAAAAATGCAACTTATAAAAGCTGACTAAAGAAGAAATGAAAATCTGTATCATCATCCTATAATTATTTTAAGAGATTAAATCTTCCCATAACAAAAATAGCAGGTCCACATGGTTATGTAGACAAATCTACCCATAAAGGCAAATAATTCCAATTTTACACAAATAATTCCAGAGAACAGAAGTGAAAATACTCCCCAACACTTTTCTCAGAGGTAGGGGAACTTACACACACACACAGAGAAGGAAAATAAACAAAAGCAAAAGTACCCTGAGTTACCATGGATTGGCCCCAGCAATGACCATCTCCATGTTCAAAGTATAGGCTGAGGCTATGCCTTTTACATCATCCCAGAAGATTCTGAAATCTTGGAGAGGACCTTTTCAGACATCTCACCCAGTTTCTTTCCCAAATCAGACCCTCTTCACTGGGTCTTGCTGGTTCAGGTAGCTCTGATTACAGTGGACTGTTTCTAGGCCCTTCTGTGTCTGGGTTTCCTTTCGGTCCAGTCAGCTGTGTCCTTTCCTCTTTTTGGCTTCCCAGGAATCTGAGCTCCTCAATTGTCTATATCTCCTTGCCATGGAAGTCTTTCCCCTCTCCCACCCTCTCCTTCCCAAAAGTAACTGGTTCCCTGTCCACGGTGTTGAGAAATATCTTTCAAAGCCCTTTCCTTTCTTTCTTTGCTCATTCCTTGGCTCAAGCCAGAGTAGAATGTCACCTTCTCAGTGCATGAGATCTGCCTGCCCCCAAATCTGTATCTTGGGGTTATCGTGAATACTTCCATAGCACTCGGTTCATGCCTTCTTGAGAATCCATATCCATCCTTGTTAGAGTCAGTGGTTAATATGTCAGTCCTCCTGTTGGTTGGTTTTCAAGCTCCTCTAACACTGGTTAATGGTAGAATGATAGTGAGAATGACAGCTACCATTCATAATGTGGTGACCGTGGGCCAGCCACTGGTCTAAGTGCTTCCTCGTGTTATCCCATTGAATCTGCACACTTTAATTATCCTTATTTTAGAGCTGAGAAAACTGTAGGCACAGCATAAAGAACATATCCAGGTCATGTTGCTCGTTTGACACTACAGCAACCATTCTTAACCATCTGCTATAACTAGCAATTGCATTGATGTTTTGAGCTTAAAAAATAATTTTCCACATATTACTTCCATCAACGAATGTATTGCATGTATATCACAGCTGATCCTCACAGGAGATATGAAAGAAGCCAGCAACAAGGTGGAGGATATTAGATCACTATGCCAAGGGAACTCTAAGAGACGTCTGTAATGATCGAGGGTGTGTGTGTGAAGAATCTACAACATGCATAAAGTCAGCTTTAAACACCTGCTGGGCCCAGAGAACATGAAGCCATTTTGTGAAAATAGTAGTTAAATAGTCAAATAAGAATTTTCCTTTCCATTCCCTCAAACTTTTAGCCTTCTCCCCAGTTTGGGGGGGGGGTGAGAAAGAGCAGCTGACTATCAGTTGGAGGAGGATGGGGAAAGAAAAACAAAGTCACCACCTTCCTCTGAATAAAAGTACATCTACAATCAGCTGAACTGAGTAAAGGGGTAGAAATCTTCATTTTAAGTGAATTGGAAAGCTTCAGCTATTACATGGGCCTGGACTTTCAAGTTACCATTTTGAAATAAACTAAAAGTCATTAAACATAATGACTTAAAATTACTATCTGTATAGCATTTTAAACTACCTTTCAGTAAATAGAGAAGGCATGAATTGACCTGTGTCTCTATTCACAATCAAACTGAAAGAGACATTAGGAAGAAAAAGAGAAAAAATAAAGGTGCTCTCTAGTGACAAAAAGTAGGTCTGTGTTTGATTAGCATAATGATGACATATGAGAAAGTGTAATAACCATAGATTATGATTAATCCAATTCTATACACTCATGACCTAAAGAGAAAAGAAGAAAAAAACCCACAAAGCATATACGTGGGTATCAGACTTAAATAAAAGTTGAGAAGTCAAAAGGAGGTCATCACAGCAGTGCCAACAACAATTTACAAATGAATTTTAGAGTGCCCTCTTTGTCATAAAACTCATTTTATTTTATTAAGAATAAAAAGAGGCTGGGCAAGGTGGCTCAGGCCTATAATTTTAGCACTCTGGGAGGCTGAGGTGGTTGGATTGCCTGAGCTCATGGGTTTGAGACCAGCTTGAGCAAGAGTGAGACCTCGTCTCTACTGAAAATAGAAAAACTAAGCCAAGAGGATCGCTTGAGCCCAAGAGTTGGAGGTTGCTGTGATCAATGAAGACACGGCACTCTACCCAGGGTTATAGCTTAACACTGTCTCAGAAAAAAAAAAAAAGAATAAAAAGAGTAAGGCCGGTGCAGTGGCTCACGCTTATAATCCTAGCACTCTGGGAGGCTGAGGTGGGTGGATTGCCTGAGCTCATGAGTTTAAAACTAACCCCACCAGAGCAAGACCTCATCTCTAAAAAGAGCCTGGCATTGTGGCAGTGCTTATAGTCCAAGCTCCTTGGGAGGCTGAGGCAAGAGAATCACTTGAGTCCAAAAGTTTGAAGTTGCTGTGAGCTATGATGCCACAGTACTCTACCACGGGTGACAAAGTGAGACTCCGTCTCAAAATAAAATAAAATAAAAATAAAAAGAATAAAATACCATCAATAGGTGTTGAAATTTAAAGATGTTTTTATACCATAAACTGGCAACTATTGAATAACTGATTTACATCAATATCAATATGGTGATTGGGAAACACAACATACAAGTGTGTCTATAATGAAAGAAAAGTTTTGTGAAATAATATACTATATTTAGGTGCCACTAAAACAAAAGTTTGTGAAACAACACTAGCTTTTGGTACACATGATGGCTTCTGATGTTTTTTCTTCTGGCCTAGTCTATTGTGTATCTTTTAAAACTGTTGGCAATGGCCCAATAAGTTGATTTGAAAGGTCAATAATAGGTTGCTACAATTGAAAAATAATAGGACTTATTAAATTATTCAACAAAGTAATTGTGCGATTGTGAAGTCCCCCTTTAGTGTGTAAAAGATCCCATTTCTCTATAATCTCATCTATGATTGGAACTGTCAATATTTCAAAAAATTTTTCCAATCTTGTAGATGTGAAATCATAATTCATATTGATTTTAATTTATATTTCTTTGATTTTTAGTAAATCAGAGTTGAATGTTTTTTCATATATTTCCCTCAGTTTTATTTCCTGTTTTGTGAATTGCCTGTTCCTATCTTTTCCATTTTTCTATTGAGTTGTCTCTTTCTTCTTCTTCTTCTTTTTTTTTTTTTTTTTAGAGACAGAGTCTCAGTTTGTCACCCTCTATAGAGTGCAGTGGCATCACAACTCACAGCAACCTCCAGCTCTCAGGCTTAGGCGATTCTCTTGCCTCAACCTCCTGAGTAGGACTACAGGCACCTACCGCAATGCTTGGCTATTTTTTGGTTGCAGTTTGGCCGGGATCGGGTTTGAACCTGCCACCCTTGGTATATGGGGCCGGCACCCTACTCAACTGAGCCACAGGTGCCGCCCGAGTTGTCTCTTTCTTACTGACTTATATGACTTTTATTTTTTTATTATTATTATTTTTTTTTGAGACGGAGCCTCAAGCTATCCCCCTGGGTAGAGTGCCATGGCATCACGCTCACAGCAA